TCGGAATTGGTGAGTTAATTTTGGCTCGTCTCGTTAAGTTGACTTTGCACTGATTATCTGTATTGCAACGCGTTGACCTAGGGCTACGCGTTGACCGGCGTTGACCTTAGGGTTTCGTATCGATCAGCGTTGACTCTCATCGCAACGCTTTGACCGGCGTTGACCTAAGGCTACACGTTGATCGGCGTTGGTCTTAGGGTTTCATATCGATCAGCGTTGACTCTCATCACAACGCGTTGACCGGCGTTGACCGGCGTCGGCCTTAGGGTGTCATATCGATCGGCGTTGACTCTCATCGCAACGCTTTGACCGGCGTTGACCTAAGGCTGTGCGTTGACCGGCGTTGGTCTTAGAGTTTCATATCGATCAGCGTTGACTCTCATCGCAACGCGTTGACCGGCGGTGACCTAGGGCTACGCGTTGACCGGCGTTGGTCTTAGGGTTTCATATCGATCGGCGTTGACTCTCATCGCAACGCGTTGACCGGCGTTGACCTAGGGCTACGCGTTGATCGGCGTTGGCCTTAGGGTTTCGTTTCGGTCGCCGTTGACTCTCATCGCAACGCGTTGACCGACGAAGAACCAGTTTTTATTCATATACTCTCGAGAGTTTCGGGAATCAGTTTAACCTTGTGTACCCGTCGGGCGTTGCCGGGTTATCCTGAAGAATATTACGCGTAATATTTTTTAGGAACTTCCCATCCACAGTGGGAAACAGTTTAGACTCGTATTTCCGTTGGAGTATGAATACAGGCTTCGAATATCTCGAAAAATACCCGAAAAGAGGTTCAAAATGCATATGAATTATCCCCGGACCCCTCCACACACGCGAGCCCACATTTCGAGGCTCACACGTGTGCGAATCAACAAACCAGGACTGGTCCGATCTGGTTCAACTAGGTTTGAGTTGCTTTGGGTCAGATTCGGGTCCGGTTCATATGGGTTCAGTCCAACCAAAAAAAGAAAAATTCACCCCGACTTACAAAACCCGATCTCCTCCTCCTTTTTTCTTCTTCCATTCGGTTTCAAAACAGAAACTTCCGCTCCCCCCTTGCTGTTTTGAGTTCTTCCTCCCCAAGAACTCTATCTTCTTCTCTTTTAAAAGCCTTTAAACCCATTTTCTTCAAGGCCTTCAACCCCTTCTTTCTAAGCCTTCTTCCTCTCCAAGGTTTTCAAGCAAGGCAAGTTGGGTTTGCAGGATTTTGGGCTTCATCATCATCACTCCTCCAAGCTTTGGTAAGAGTCTCTCTCTCTCATAGCTTCAATTTGAGTCCCTTCTCTTGAACTCTCCAAATTTCAAAACCCTAGTTTTTTTGATTTGGGGAAAAACTCAAATCTCCATTTTTTTGCTCTTGAGGGGTTGGCCAAAATTTGAGATATGGATTCCCTCACTTTTGATTGCAATATTTTTTAATTTCATGCATATATATGGCCGAAATTTGAGGGTTTTATGTGCAAATTTGGGGGAATTTGAGGGTTTTATGTGCAAAAAAGTGGGCTGAAAACAAGGCTGAAATTTGTGGGGGTTTGTATGTAAATTTGGACTAAAATTGTTGAGGGTTTATGTGCAACAAGTGGGCTGAAATTTGGAGGGTGTATGTGCAAACTTGGACTGAAATTGTTGAGGGCTTTTGTGTAAATTTGGGGCTGAAATTTTGGGGGGGTGTATGTGCAAATATGGGCTGAAATTGTTGAGGGCTTTTGTGTAAATTTGGGGCTGAAATTTTGGGGGGTGTATGTGCAAATATGGGCTGAAATTTGGAGGGTGTATGTGCAAACTTGGACTGAAATTGTTGGATGTTTTCCCCCTTGTATATATGAATTTTTGCCGTAGGAATTTCTTGTGTCGAACCTATATATGCACGATTCTAAAACTCAATTTAATATCTATGTTTCTAATTTCGGACGATTCCGTGAGCTTGTGAATCAACATGTTGAGGTGATCGAGACCATGTGTTTGACTTTGTGACCTTCAACTCGATTCTCCCTTCTTTCACCTTGAATGAGATATATATTACGTAGGTTTAATTGGATTTTTTAACCAAAAAATCCTAAATTTTAGAATTTCAATTAAATATCGCAATTTCCCTTTTGTATATTGGATTGTTGATTCGCCAATCTCGACATATCTGAACCACTGATTTCTCTTACAGATTAGCTATGTCGACGAAGAGATCACATACCGCGAGGGGTCGTTCTGCTACCCAGTCACCTGAACCCGAACCTTTCAGCTGCATCGGTATAACGTCGCCATTTCTCTTATTTACGACTTCAACATTAACATATCATACTGTATATTGCATCTTGCATCCCCGCCTTGTTCTCCTTGGTAAGGCAATTAGGAAGAGCCGTCACCCTCCTTCGTGAGTGTGGTCGCTTCATAGCCGTGTTTCGCTTGGTCGAAGCACGCCTACATTAATTTGGGGCGATTTCAACAGTATAGAGCCGCCACTCTCCTTCGTGGGTGTGGCCGCTTCATAGCCGTGTTTCGCTTGGTCAAAACAGCCGCCACTCTCCTTCGTGGGTGTGGCCGCTTCATAGCCGTGTTTCGCTTGGTCAAAACACATCTAAATTAATTTGGGGCGATTTCAACGGTATAGGGTCGTCACTCTCCTTCGTGGGCGTGGCCGCTTCATAGCCGTGTTTCGCTTGGTCAAAACACACCTAAATTAATTTGGGGCGATTTCAACGGTATAGAGCCGTCACTCTCCTTCGTGGGCGTGGCCGCTTCATAACCGTGTTTCGCTTGGTCAAAGCACGCCTAAATTAACAAGCACCTTTTCTTTTTTTTTTTGCTTGGAAATACACATAGATGTATTATGTATGATATCCCCATTTTGTTCTCCTTAGTGAGGCAATCGGGAAGAGCAGCCATTCTCCTTCGTGGGTGTGGCCGTTTCATAGCCGTGTTTTGCTTGGTCAAAACATGCCTAAATTAATTTGGGGCGATTTCATATTGTATTGCATCGCGCGGGGCAATGTATGTTGTCGCGTCGTTATGCGATAGCATACTTTGTCTTGTGCGCGCGTGATACCGTTGAAATCGTCTCGCCAATTACAGGATCGTGACTCTATCTCACCGCTTTGTGAGATGAGTTCAACACTTGTTTAGATAACCAGGAAACTTCATAATTACATTTTGTAAATGCGCATTATTTGTTTCAGTCGAATTCCCTTCAAGGGTGATCAATGCCAATGCGGTGGAAGGCCGCTCCGGCGAGGCTTATGCTTCTGCCAACGACCCTATGCTCATTCCGGCTATCCCCCAATTTGCTCCGGGTGCACCTGAAGAACTTCCCCAACTAATACGCAAAGGAGATCGTCGTACCTTACGGCAATTGATTACCGATGTACCTCTGGTTGAAGACATTAACTCCACTCATCCCCTAAAGAAGCCAGATTATCTATTTGGCGACTCTGTTGAGGACCCAATCATCGTGCCCCTCAAAGCTGAGCAATGGTTACATAAGGATGAAGGGGGCTTCTTATATATCCCTCATACAAAGCTGAGCAATGGTTACATAAGGATGAAGGGGGCTTCTTATATATCCCTCATATTCCTCGTCATCGCTCATTGACTGAACTACGACAGTAAGGATGAAGGGGGCTTCTTATATATCCCTCATATTCCTCGTCATCGCTCATTGACTGAACTACGACAGGTTGTTAAACGAGAGATGTCGTGGGATCTGACGGAGGAACGTGAACGTGTCCATTGTGGATACATCACTCATCATTCCACTCGTGGCGAGCTATTTACGGTTGCTAATACCCTGAAGAATCGCCTCGCGAGGCTGGGGAGAGAGATGCCTGTCACTAACCACAGATGCTATGGTTGGGTTCATTCTTCAGATAAACTTTGGTGGTCTCGCCTAACCAGCTATGTCCTCGCCCGATAGGGTGAAGAACTGAAGGCTAGCGGGTTATATGCAGCCGTTCGTGCCACTATGTATGGACTGACGATTAGCATTTCCCACTTCCTTGCGTTGATGGAGCTTTACAACCCCGACACGAATACATTCTTGACGAAGCACGAGGATTTAGGATTAGCTCTTCATGAGATGAACAAGGTTTCGGGTTTGCCCATGGGGAATATGTTATACCAAAAATATTTCCCTTCGAATCGATAGTTACGTCAGTTGAAGTCGACTACCTCGAATCGCTACGACACTTTGTGAGATCTCACATGCCATTACTACACAGCTTTGGCAGGTGTCGAACCAGTGTTGAAGAGGACCAAACCGTAAATTACCTTAAAAAGATTTACAAATTATTTATTCAGAAATCTAGAAAGCAATTCTGGAGAAGTGATTTGTGAGTTAAGGCCGTCGACTTCGGCGGAGATTAATGAGTTAATTAAGAAGTCCGACGCTCATTCCTATACCATTGCCGGTATCGAGGATGATTTTCCTACTGGGACCAAGTTTCACACCTTCTTATAGCATACCATGAACCTATTCACCCGATGACTCTGCTGGCTGGTTATCTTACCATTTCGCTAAAGAAATGCGTAGTCCCATATCAACCCACGGATGTTCTGCCCGTGGAGGTACTTTACCCCGCTGTTCAATTGGCTCACCGGAAAAATCTTTCTCTCCTCCCGGCAATGATCGTCGATATCCACCGTGGTCTTCGCCAAATGATTAGTACTTTCACTCAGGAAGGAAGTAAGCCAAGTGTTGTAATCCAAACAGTCAAGGTGGAGCTGCCCTACACTTACTTGATGGCATGGTTTGTTCTTCATCGCCCTGACATGATGGATGTGCCAAAGGTTGCGAACCAATCCATCCCCTTGTTGCAGCGGATAGAAGATTGTAAATGGAAAGGACGAGGGTTCTTGGACATACGGAAACGACTGCAAGACCATAAATGCGATAGAAGATTGTAAATGGAAAGGACGAGGGTTCTTGGACATACGGAAACGACTGCAAGACCATAAATGCTGGGTCGTCTCGACATGCTTCCCTTCGAGGGTTCTTGGACATACGGAAACGACTGCAAGACCATAAATGCTGGGTCGTCTCGACATGCTTCCCTTGATTTTCGGGTCGTTATGGTGATTCATTGGTTGATATGGAGAAACCTGGTACTGGTCGGACCTGCCTTGACACTGGATGCTTTGATTGGCTAGTGAACATCAGGCCAGGTTATGTGGTTTTTCGAGTAAAGAATTGTTGTTATATAGAACCGTATCTACCATGCAAGTTCGCACAACAACTTGGGTATGATCAAATATATGTTGGGAACCTAAGTTCAGGACTCCGGACTCGTGGTGGCCTAGTAGACGGTGCCCGGGCGTGGCTGTGGAATGTTACGGGTTGCACTGGCGTCAGGTTTAGTCTTCCGGTTACTGAACGCCAACTGGAACTTACCTTCTTATATTGTCGTTGGTTATTAGCGGCCAATGAGTCCGTCGCGATGAAGCCAATTGCTGAGTTGACGGCCGAGGCAGCAGCTCGGATTGCTACCCAAATGGTTTATGAGGTCGAGTACCAGAAGAGGAAAGGCAAAGAACTCGCCGGTCCTTCTATAGATAAGGAACAAGAGGACGATCCCCTCTTTTCTGAAGAAGAAGGTTTAGATGCAGATGTTGTCAGCGGTAAGGCTAAGACGGCAGACCATGATGAAGAGGAACTCGACATAAGTTTGTCAGAGCCCTTCTTCGCAGAGCTATTGGATCTAGCAGTCGCCGATCAAATTCGCCGACTCAAGACTCGAAAAAGGTGGAAAGCTTTACCCACTTATCCTCACAAAATGTTTGTTGAAATTCCAGGTGTAGGTTCTGAAAAAGGTGGAAAGCTTTACCCACTTATCCTCACAAAATGTTTGTTGAAATTCCAGGTGTAGGTTCTGAAGGGGGAAAGGAAGTGAAAGGAAATTCCAGGTGTAGGTTCTGAAGGGGGAAAGGAAGTGAAAGGTCGTCACTTTACTCGCACTCGTTCTCAGACCGTGGCTCGAATTGATCCCTTAATTGAACCATGTGCTGAATCCATACCGAGTAGACCTGCGGATCCTAACGAGACGCGGCCTTGTAAATGTCAGAAGATGACTTTGAGACGACGCGTCACATCGTCAGTTCCCAACGCAGAACCACTCGGTGACATACCCGTTGTTGGGGGAGGTAATGCTTCAACTTTTTGCTTTTTTTTTTATATCCCCTGTTAGACTTAGTGAATCTGCATTTCAGGGGGACATGACCAGAGTGAGACCGTTTATGATCCTCCTCCCGATTTTGATTTATTTCAAGAGCCTAGCCTTTCGCATCGAGTATACGAAGCTATTCTTGATGAGCCCGATAACATTGCAGTGGACATGACTGTTGAAACCAATGAAGATACCGGGTAGGACCTGGTTTGTCTACGACAGTCTCTAACCCAGGTACATCTAACACCGGTAGTACACCTTTCAAATGGCAATTTTGGGAGTTGACAGATTCAGAATTCGTGCCTCCGTTAATTATTTCTATGCTTTTGGCTCTTTTAGAAAACCCCCAAGAAATAGGTGCCAATACTGGGATTGCGGACTCTGCTATCCCTAATAAAGGTAAATCCAACTCTTATTTGTTATGGATTCCCAATTTCCCTTCCTGTGTCTTAAAATCTGGACTCTTCCGTAGGTACCCTTATGAAGAATTCAGATAATGAGGATTCCCTTCAAGATTACTTTTGAGACGTCGGACGCTCATTCATCTGATCCGGTACCAGACCCTTCGGTATCTAATGACATGTTGTTGGAACCAATTCGTCATGATACCGTCAAAGCATTCGCCGAGCCTGGTTCTTCCGCAGGTATAAAATTTACCCCTCTACAACAGTCATTCTTATCTCAGATTTACTTAACTATAGAGGAGTTTCACTTGCAGGACTAGTCGTTGAGACTGGTACAAACATCGATGTTGGGATACCTGACGCTTCTAAAGGTCCCAATTTTTCGCAAGCGGCAAGAATCATTGCCCAAGACCCTTCGTCGATTATTCCAACTTCTCTCCCACTCTCAGCAACTGAGATGACCATCGCAAGTGTGGGGATTAACCCGATTGAACAAGTCGTCGGACCAACTGAAAAGGTTGATACATCAACGGTTGTTGCTTTTGCAGCGCCTCCGCCAGTTCACGAGGCTGTGCAGGTGGAATCAAGTGTTGGAAATCTAGCTGAGGGGACTTCTGTCGGTATTGGTAAGCTCTACACCGAAGCTTGAAGATATTCAAGTTAATATTCTGAAATGTTTGATTCCTATTTTTTTTACAGGGATTTCGTTCCAACTCTCTGATCTTGTCAAAGCGCTATTGTTAGATGACGATCCGAACCAGATTGTCCTTTGTACGAAAGTTAGCAGCTTTTTCACTTTCGTGGGCAATATGATTGACAAACTCCTCCATAGTAGGACATCTTTTCGTCAATTCAGACCATTCGTCGATCTCAAATTATCCTTAATAGAGAAGATCGGATTGCTACACTTGTTACGAGCTATAGCTGATGACTTGACTCGTCTAGAGCGTGATTTTCAAGAACTTAAAGAGTTCCGAGATACAGGTGCTCCTTCGTACATAGCTGCTCGGATGGAATCTCGGCTGTAAGCGTGGCGCGATGCCCAGGCATTGGTTGAACCTGAGGTTCAAATGCGCCAAAGTAAGGTAAATAAGATGAAAGCCGTTCTTGACAACAAGTTACAAACTCTGCACAATATTAAGTCCTCCCTTGTATCAAGTGTTGGCAAGATAGCGCAACTTAAACAGGAGCTTCAAGCGGAAGAAGAGACTTGGGAACTTTTAGAAGTGACAAGGGTTGACGAAGAACGTAACTAAGAGATTGTGTCTAGGGAGTTGGAACTATCGGAGCAGGAGCTGACTAAGGCAAAAGAAGAGGCCGCAAGGATGTTATCTGCCAACGAAGGATCTATGAAGGCTACATTGCAGGAAGAGCTCGAGCAAGCTTATGTGGAAGAGTTGTCGAAGTTAAAGCAACAAGTTCTTAGCCATAAACTTCATGTAGATTAGCTGTGACTTTTGTACCTACAAACTCGAATTTTCATCAATAGAAAGTATTTTTTATTATACTTCTTTTATTATGATGTCCTATTCTGTTTGGAATAATCAACCATAATATTTATAGGATTTTTGGCAAACCCTCAGCCATCAACGGGTTTGATGTGCCTTTACTGATTACCGTTTGAATCGGGCTAGCATGCGAATTATTAATATCCGTTTCATATGTAATGTTGTGCTAAGAGAGTTAATTCTCCTAGACTTAGTGCTGTGATTTTGAATACATACACTTTACCATTTCTTATGGTAGTATGGCATCCGGCAACGCATGTCAGGCGCTGACTTATCCCTACTTAGGTTTTGGGATAAAATTCCCCAGACTCGTATTCTATTGTTTTTTTCACTCGGTGAAAGACTAAACCGGCGACGTGTGTTAGACGTAGACTTAGGATTTTCGACAAACCCCCAGTCTTTAACGGGTTTGATATGCCTTTACCGACTACCGTTTGAATCGGGCTAATATGTGAATTATTAATACCCGTTTCACATGTAACGTTGTGCTAAGAGAGTTAATTCTTCTAGACTTAGTGTTATGATTTTGAATACATAGACTTCACCATTTCTTACGGGAATATGGCACCCGACAACGCGTATTAGGCGTTGACTCATCCCTACTCAGGCTTCGGGATAAAAGTCCCCAGAATTATATTCTAGTGTTTTTTTCAATCAGTGAAAGACTAAACCGACAACGCGTGTTAGGCGTATGCTTATCTTTATTTAGGAGTCAAGATAAAGTTCCCCGTGCATGAAGTGCGCGGATTGGAAGTTGAGAATTGCGTCTTTTCTCAGGGTAAAGACAAACCCGATGCTGGAGAGGAAGAATTTTATATTCTGTCCCCAGGTCTTGTTTAGGGTAAAGACGAACCCAAAAATGAAAGAGTAAGAATTTTATATTCTATCTCCCGGTACTGAAAAAGAAGAATTTTATATTCTATCTTCAGTTGGAAAGGAAACTCGAGATGGGATCTCCACCCCCAGAATCCGGAAAGATGAAACTAGGAGTGTGATCTTCATTCCGAGAATCAGAAAGATTCAAACAACCCTAACTTTTATAGGATTGGTTGCTTGATCCAAGAAAAAAGTTCCTCGTTTATTGAGAGGAAATTCCGATTTCGACCCTAACTTTTATAGGTTTGGCCGAAAAGAAAAAGATGAAAGTCTTTCGTTTATCGAAAAGGGATGACTCGATCTTAGTCCTAACTATCTGTAGGTTTGACTAAGGGAGATTGGAGACAATCCTAATTTTTATAGGTTTGGTTGTTCAAATTGAAAGTGAGCCTCTCGTTCATGGAAGGAATCGAGAGGAGAATCTGGCTTTGGCCCTAACTTTTATAGGTTTGACCTGAAAGCAAAGAGAGTAGAATACATGTAGCAGTAAAAATACCGACTTGTACTAGCCACTTATGGGGAATTTTGATGTTAAGTGATCATGACTTAACACGTCAAGCTTTGAAAATTACCATGAATTGGCGGATTAGAATTTTAGTGGACCCACCGTTAATTGATTTGATCAGTGGAGGATTTTGTGAGGAAATGTTGATCTGTCAAAATGATCGAATCTTATTTATCAATAATAAAACACGCTTTAACTTTGAATACATTCAGAGTCCAAGTGTGGATTTCTTATTCATTACTTTCACAGCAACTGGGTTATCCCTAAGAATACCACATGCAGTATTCTTCTGGAAACTTCCCGATACATTGGTTATCCTGAATATACTAAGGGTAGTATTTTTTCAGGAATTTATCATTTATCGGCATCATAAGCCGGTCGCCTTCCTTGGTAATAAGGCGATATGCACCACTCGAGTAGACTATCTTTACTACGAACGGCTCTTCCCATTTGGGTTTAAATTTGCTTTTCTTCTTGGAGTTAAGGATCATAGGTCGTCTTTCAGTTAAGATCAAATCTCCTTCTTTAAAACTCCGTTGTCGAACCTTTTTGTCAAAAGCTCGGGAAATTTTGGCTTGGTAGAACTCAATGTGCTGTTGAGCCTCTAAGCGCTTTTCGTCGAGCATCTCGAGTTCTTCGAGACGTTTCTGATGTTGTTCTTCGGTCGTCATCTGGGCTGCGAGAGCAATTCAAAGAGATGGAATTTGAATTTCCAACGGAAGGACGACTTCACACCCGTACACCAAAGAATACGGGGTTGCGTCAGTAGGCGTGCGAACTGTGGTGCGGTAAGCCCATAGTGCTTTGCCGAGTTTATCATTCCAATCTCGTTTGTTAGTCTTCACGAGTTTTGATAAAAGCTTGATGATAGTCTTGTTAAATGCTTCAGCTAATCCGTTTACTGTGGGATTATAAGCTGTTGACGAGACATCTTGAATTTTAAACTTCTCGCAAAATCTGATGAATGCATTACTGACAAACTGAGGACCGTTGTCATGTATGATCCGTCTTGGGACACCATATCGGTAGATAATATGGTGCTTAATGAATGCAATGACGTTGTTCGTCTTCAATTCTTTGAGTGGAATCGCTTCAGCCCATTTGGAGAAATAATTAGTAATGACTAAAATGAACCGATCACTTTTGACTAACGGGGGATTTATAGGACCAACGATATCCATTCCCCAAGTCTCTAAAGGCCATGATGTAGCCGAAGGATGCAGATGCTCCGGGGGTTGGTGCATATAATTCACGTGCACTTGACACGTGTGACACTTTCGGGCATATGCGATCGCATCTTTAATCATGGTGGGCCAATAATGTCCCATTCTTCTGATGCGGTCATAAAGTTTGGGGCTAGGCTGGTGTGCACCACAAACCCCTTCGTGCGTCTCTTTCAGGACTTCTTCTGCTTCTTTAAACGATAAATAACGTAGTAGTAAGTCATCGCACCCCCTACGATATAACGTTCGACTCTCCGTGTTATAGTAGAATCTCAGTGCTCTTCGTCGGATTGAGTCCCTTTCCTTCACGTCTTCTGGTAAGATTCCGTGCAGGACGTAATCTATGATAAGAAAACGCCAATCTCGGGGTTCGAACTCAACTTGAGTTGAATGTACTTCTTTAATATCCTCTTCCTTGTCATCTTCATCGTAGATTGGTACGAAGAGTTGGTGAGTTCTCACCGTAACGAACTGTTCTGTTTCGGGAGGCTGCGCCAGAGACACGACTAATGCTGCCAGTGCATCTGCATACGCGTTTTGTAAGCGTGGAATGTATTCGATGAAGAATCCTTCAAACGATTCTGTCATCTCAACGGCCACCTTATGGTACGATATCAAATCCTGATTTCTAACTTCATACTCTCCCTGAATTTGTTTAACTACTAGTTGAGAATCACTGAAAGCTTCGAGATACTCGACCCCCAGCTCTTTAGCAAAGCTGAGTCCAATAAGCAGCGCATTATATTTGGCTACGTTGTTCGAGCACGGCTCGGTCAGCGAGTAAGCTCGAGGCACCACATGTTTTCCCGGAGAAATTAAGACAACTCCAACTCCGGAAGAAATCTTAGAACATCCAGGAGCACTTGCTACATTAGTTGCCTGAGAGGCACCATCGAAATACAAACGCCACACCTGTTGATGGGAAGTTACGTTGACTTCGTGGGTTTCATCTGGCAAATCATCGTACACCTCGGCGGTATCCGTAGTTGGGTTTGCCGCCAGGAGATCACAAATAGCTTGTCCCTTGACTGACTTTTGTTCTTTAAAATGCAAGTCGTATTGGGACAGAAGTAAAGCCCATTTCGCTAACCGCCAATTCATGAAAACAGACTGTGTCATGAATATTCTGACTGGGTTAACATTGGTGATGACGTAGATAGTTTGCCCCCACCAAGTAGTGTTGCATCTTTTGGATAGTGAATACTAAGGTGAGACACTCTCTTTTGATCATTGAATATCGAGATTCGGCGCCTACGAGGGTCCAGCTTAAATAATACACTGCTTGTTCGTGACCGTTATCGTCATCTTGTGCAAGTAGTGCACTTAATGAGTGGCTCGTCGCCTTGACATAAATTAAGAACGGTTTGCCCGATTTTGGTGCAACGAGTACATGGGGTTTCGAGAGATATTCCTTAATATTCTCAAACGCCTTTTGACAAGCGTCATCCCATATAAATGATACGCCTTTCTTTGTAAGCCTGGAGAATGGTTGATATTTTTCCGAAAGGTTTGAAATGAAGCGACGGATATAAGCCAACCGTCCTTGTAATCCTCTGAGTTCCTTATGGTTTCTCGGGGGTTGTAGCTCATTAATTGCCTTCACTTTATCAGAATCGATGTGAATACCCTTGGTGGTGATGACGAATCCATGGAATTTGCCGCTAGACATTCCGAGGAAAGATTTGATAGGATTCATCTTCAATTAGTGAGTCCACATCAGGTCAAACATCATTTTCAATTCTTTGATGTGATCATTCTTGTCACGACTTTTCACAACTAGATCGTCCACGTAGCATTTGATAGTCTTCCAGAGATGCTCCTGAAAATCTTTAACATGGCTCTCTGATATGTGGCACCTGCGTTCTTTAAGCCGAAGGGCATAACTGTGTAATAAAAAACTCCGAGGGGTATTCTAAACGCGGTATGCTTTTCATCATCTGGATGCATCTTTATCTTATTATAACTAGAAAATCCGTCCATGAAGGACATTCTCTCGAATCCACACGTATTGTC